TTTTGCTTGAATAATATTTTCTTGATATTTTTTAAAGTTTTTACTTTTTAATAAAATGAATTTTACGTGTTATTCTATTAATTAACTATTTCAGTATCACGCAAAAATAGAAGCGAAAATATCTTAGAATGGTTTGTTTTCTTTCATTTTTTATTTATTTGCATTTAAATAATTCCTGTTTTCAGACAATGAAATTATTTCCCTCCCTTCTCACTGCTTTCCATGCTGAATGTTCATTCCAGTTTCATCAAAGGTATATTTCGCTCTCAGCATACAACGGAAGCAAAATTGATCATGGAGTGCATTTCATTATTTTTCAAACTGGAAGGGAAACATGCCGAAGGGAAATTTGAAATTAGACAGAAAAGCAGCCTTAGTTTAACGTAGATTTGGGGGGGGGGGACTCTATTGATTCCTGTGGTCTTCAGGTGCAAAGGTTTTTGCTCCTGATCTATGTCCGATCGTCCTCGAATTCGACCACCCTCGTTTTATTTTCAAAAATTTCTTCATTCTAAGATTGTCTTTTTTGCCCTAATTTTAAACCAGTAATCTTTGTTTGAAATTAAATTAATTTCACTTTTCTACCTTCCCCATTTCCCATGCATATTCCATCAAACAATCATTTGCTCATTTACTTTCTCATTTGTTATTAACTCATTTCTTTTTGAAAAATTTCAAGCTTAAAATATCACTTTTAATAGAAATCTTCGCTGTCCCCCTTTTTTCCCATTTGGAGATATTAACAAATAAATGACTTACCTGATATGTATATTTTAATTTTAAGTAAAAACAGTTTGCACATAGTTCTTATTAAGATGTCAATAAATCAGTAAAGGCACTACAAAGTAAAGGAAGATGGAGTTATTTAAAATATTTACGGAAACAAATTGCCCGTTCTCATCATCTTGCCATTATCTAAACTTACAAATGATATGCAAACACACACACTTATATATATCTTAAGTTAAAATTATTTTCTCCAATTTAATTGAAATCTTATTGACTTAAATTTATATCATTTTTAAGTCATTTCTCCAATTTATTAAAATTTATGCATGTATATATAAGACTTTGAAAAAGAAATTGAAAATTAAAAAGCAAGTAATTATCGCTATTGATCGGAAATTAATTGACTTTTCAAGGGGAACAAACCAATTCCCTTTCACTGAACAATAATTAATAAATGCGAAGGTGTTTCGTCTTTTACTCAAGTAAGAATGATCATGCCAAACTGGCAAATTAAGCCAGGCCAAAACTGTAGTTTCGTGATGTGATGGGATTTAAAACCAAAGTAGAGTACCAAAGAACTCATTCTGAATGAAGCATTTTAGCTAATACAAGATTTTTTAGAAATTTTGAGTGAAAAGCCAATTTATGTAATAAAATTTACAAAATACTTGAGTAAATGTCCTCCGACACCTTCGCTGTTAATTCAAGACTATGTTTATGTTTATATTACAAGATATGTATTAACATGCATAAAAGCGAAGGTGTCGGGGGACATTTACTCTATTTTGTAAATTTACTACATAAATTGGCTTTTCCCTCAAAATTTCTAAAAAATCTTGTATTAGCGAAAATGCTTCGTTCATAATGAGTTCTTTGGTACTCTACTTTGGTTTTAAATCCCATCACATCACGGAACTACAATTTTGGCCTGACTTAATTTGCCAGTTTGGCATCATCATTCTTACTTGAGTAAAAGACGAAACACCTTCGCATTTTTAATTATTGTTCATTGACGGGAGTGGTTTGTCCCGTTGAAAACAATGAATTTGGATCAAAGCGATAATTGCTTGTTTTTAATTTTAATTCTTTTTCAAGTTTTGAAATTTTTTTTCATGATTTTAATTCAAGTTCCCTTAAACGTTTTTTCATGATTTACTTCAAGTTACTTTTTAAAACACTTTCGGAATTAAACTTTCTACATATAGGTTCACTCTTTTTTGATACATTCTACTAATTTATATTAGAAATAATATAATCAATATTTCTTTAGTAAATAAATTATTATTATCTTACTTGCAGCCTATTGCGAAGTATTAGAAAAACTTATTTTCGAATCAGGGATTTTGGATCATTCATATATATATAACATCAACATATATATATATATATATATATATATATATATATATATATTATATATATATATTGACATTTAATTCTACAAAAGAAACTAACAGTTACGGTCACTTCACATACAATAAAACTGAGAATCCAATTCGCATCTGTTCATGTTGTTAACCTGTATCACAATTTTATCGAATTAACTGTTCCTTAAACAAACTTCATTAAAATTAGTGGAAGTCTTTACACGTTGTTCTAATATGATATCGAAGAAATAAAGAATAGATACAATCGATACACCAAATTAAAATTGTTTTTGCATACAAAAACCAAGAAGGATTTAAAAAAAAAAAAAGAAAAGAAAAGAAAACGCTCATGAAGTAGAAAGCTGAGTGCCATCCATTACGACAAGTGAATCGGAAGAAAAGTATCACAATCCGAACAAATGAGCGGTAATCATTTGCTCCAGCGGTCGAGATAAACCGCTTGCCTAGCCTATTATTGGAGCTTTCGCAGCTTTTACATTTACCGGGTAGTTCCGTGTGTGGTGGCGGCACTGCAGCTATCTTAGGCCCGAACGTTTTGCATTAGCTCGCGCCTTGCGATGCGGGAGCTCCGGACAGCACTCCGTCCAATCAATCTTTCTCGAAAGGAGCACCGGTCTGATCCTTTGGATCCAGAGTTCTTTATTCGCACTGAAGATCATCAAGCGAGATGTGCATCTTCGATCATAAACACTGCTGCATTTCGGTAGCCCCATTCATATACAGTTTAAAACGAAACAATTTTATTTACTATTTTTAGGTAAATTTAATAGTATTATTATAACATAAGTGTGGTTTAAAGTATGCTTTGTGGTTGTTACTTTTCTTGACAAAATTTTGAATGTTTGTACGAAATAGCCACATTGTTGTGGTATGCAATGCATAAACTAGAATTCTAATATGTCTAGTAAAAATGCAATGCTAGGCATATCTGGAAACTCTGACTACTCTTTATACGTTCATGAAATATATGACTTCGTCAATTAATGATTTAAAGTGACTTTTTAATAATATTTAGCACTTTTGTTATTCGAATGAGTAATTACGAGATCAGATTTGTTAGCTTCTTGCAGAACAAGTGAAAGAAAGCTTTCAAAATCCTTTACATTTTCATCGAAACAAGTTAGTCTGCTTTAAATAGATAATCAGCTATGTAGACATACATGCAGTTGCGGTTACGAAATTTAATTTATTATGTTTAGTAAAGATAGTCAAAACAAAGAATAATCTTCGGTTTCTTGTTAGGAATTAAGTTATTATCACTTGTGATTTATTTCTCAGTATAAAAAAAAATCATATTCATACCTTGCTGCAGACATTTTCCATGTTAATATGTGCCTAGACAGCGCAGCGCTTTCCATTTCTTTGGATGAGTTTGCTGAAACTAATTAGCAAAGGAATTATTCTACACTTATTAGATTAGCGTAGTTTAATTTTTAAAAATATTATTGCTCTACATATACGTGCTTAATATCAACTTGCTATTAAAACTCAAACAGTTGCTGCACAAGTAATTGTTGGTTTTACTTAAACAAATAATTTTATTTAGGTTCACACCCTATATGGAAAATTATGTTAAAGGAAACTTTAAACCGACTTCATGAAAACTGCGAGCTTTACTTATTAAAAGAGTATTTTATTTAAATGCTTAATATTTCTGCTTCTAAATAAGACTAGAAAAATAAATAAATAAACGGTAAGTCTTAATGAGATATTACTGTTTGGAATCGTTAAGGTACACGAAACATTATGTTTGAAAATAATTCTTCGGCTACACATTATTTTTGAAATACACATTGAATTGAATAAGCAGCAGTTCACGAATTTTAAGTAAATACTGACATATTTATCAAAAAAGCATACAATATGCGGTATTAACACCTTTATCAAAAGTCTAGCTGGATGTAATAAAATTTAGTTAAGCCAAATCTCATTCAGTGAACTACCACGGAAGAAGATTTGACTGCTTCAGACACAAATAATACAATCTTAAGTACTGCTAAATATGTAAACAAAGTAACAGTATCCTTCAATGTAATTCTTAATGTCACCTGCCCACAAATAAATAAGCATGCAAAACGTTCTGTTATGAATAGGAATTTACCATAGAGATGAGGAGTTAAATAATAAGCTGAATTAAAGTAAAAAAGTAATAAGTTAAACTCACAGTTGTTTGAATACCTGAGCTTTTGAAACAGACTCACAGTTACTTTATCAAACAATTCAATGGATAATGTGTAAAAACTCTGGAAATTTTGTAATTAACATACTCTGGCTCTCGTAATACTCGCGTACTATATAATGACATCAACTATTAACATCCTACTTCGGTAGTTTGCCGTTTGCAGCATTAAAAATGATAATATTTAAATTCCAGAGATAATTCTCAAATTATTACGTTTTTACCCCCCTTTTTTGTGTATCAATAGATGTCAATACAATTTTTTCTAGATCGGAGTTTAGATATTACTGTAATCTCTTTTCTATACTTGTAAACAAATCTTCTGCGACGTAAATGATTAGTGCATGAAATTTATACTTTAATTTCCACATGTATTAGATGCTATGGAGGTCGACTATTACAGAATATACAAAGGATTATAACATATGAACATCGCAATCCGCAAAAGTTCGCTTTTTGGGTTTCACAACATAATTCTAAAATACGTTAAGTACTAAAAATTTCTCTTACTGTGATTTTGCTAAGTTTCGAAACTGATCTTCCCAAACCGCATTAAATTAACTTAAATTTGAAAAGGACAAAATATAAAAACCTATCAAATAATTTTGGACAAATTTTTTTCCCGTACACCGTCTGTTAATTCTGCTTTCTCCCTCGTTACGAATATAAACGAGCACAATAGACAAACTTACAAAATATTTTACCATTTGGTAGAGTCCAGTACAGGCATAATCCTTCTGAGGACAAGTGCTTTCACCATCCATCCTCTTCGGAGGTTCGTGGACGATTAGATGGTGGAAAATCATCATCCGAAGAACCACTTTCCGACATAATTGAAAATCACAGTGCTCAACTCTTCCCTTGTCCCCGAACGAACAACGTAATGAGGACTCGGACGCAACACCAGCTATATCATCGTTTAAAGGAAAAGGGCCTTTAGTCTCAGATTATGGTTATCAGGACTTTTCGCTAAGAGCATATATTCCGCGTGAAAGCTAGCTTTTCTTTTTCCACTCTTAGCTTCTTTCTTCTATCCTTAACCTCTATACTGCGAGTCCGAAACGTGAATGAAAGAGGTGGGGTGGGGGAGTAATAATTGTTATTATTAGAGATCGCTCTCCTCGGGCTCGGAACGTGATCTCTGTTAATTCGAGTGCCAATCTTGAAGTTACATGACACAGAGCGCACTCGACCAATTAAGTAGTCATGAGGACACCCATTTCTTCCGGGGGAGAACGGGCAGAGCAGCAGAAGAAAGCCAGGTATGAGAAGAAACCACCAATTCGTGATTGTCTGCGTCAACAACCGTTTCACCCCCAACATTCATAGTTTACCTAACGCACTGGTTACGAAAAATAATGATGGCTGTCTCGTAGTAGTTACTTTTATTTAACGCTGTAATAGTCTGTGTCGTTATGTTTTATGTTTCTTCACCTAATAATAAAGCTAATATGTTGCCATTGCTGTTGCATCCCATTTAAGAGTTGGTGAAGTACATGAAAGCCAGATTCATGTACTTGAATAGTGATTTCTAACTCAGCAATTAATTCAGATCATTTGAATTTACTTTTATAGCTGTTTAAAACAAAGATGACTTAGTTTAGGTTTGCTATGCAGTTGCATTTAGTTGTATAAAAATTAAAGGCGTTTCTCTATTGTAACCTTGTGATATAAAGGTCAACATATCAAGCTGATAATATGAATACCTGGATTCGATTCCCTGAGGGGAGGAGGTGATCTTTTTCAATACACCCTGCCTCCAAACTATTTTAATAGAAGTCTTTATGCCTGTACAAGACGAGCTTAAAGAGTGAATGAACGATTATTCTTCACTAATTTGCATTGTTTGACTGGGAATCGCTTTGCTCCTCGGTCGTGTTTCAGGTATGAGTATGTGCATGAAGATGGGACTAGGGTGGAGAAATAAAAGAAATTAAAATACTTCTAAGTTCATTTGAGGGGGGGTAATGCTCAGTTCATCATTCCGGAAAGCTGAACATCCGGATCCACTTCACTTGCTGCTTACTTTTAAAGTGAGTATGCGACTAAGGTAGCTATTATTCTTTCCAGTCGATCAAATTAAAAACTGTTAATAAAATTTAAAAATCTAGTTTTCTATTTAAATATGTTAATTATTTTTAATCTATGTCTATATTTACAAAGGAAACATAATATTTAAAATTCTTATTAAAGGAGAAAAAAACCCTCTTGATAGAAACTGACGTACAACAATTAATTTATTATTTACTTCTAGAGCTCTGCAAACTAGAATTGATTCCGCACAGTATTACTTTTGAGTTATCAAAGAATAACAAAGCATTTATCAACATACTCTTTTGTCACGCTCATAAGAATACAATCTTAAACTAGAAATGCAGAATTACTTCTGCTGTCAAAAGAAAGTGGACAGTTTGAGAAAGCTGATAAAAAACATTCCATAAATTTCTAAATAAACCGCTAAAGATTCGTTTCAAATCATCTTCTGTTTTTAAAAGAGAAGAAATTTCACTAATTAGTAAATAGACTCAACAAGCCCAATTTAAGAAGTTTCTTAAACCATTAAAAGGCAACCTCTAGGACTCAATACAGGTTTCGACTTTCACGACGCTTGACGAATGCCAAGCCGGTTAATGTTTTTCACGCTTTGATGCGAAATTTAATTTCGGTAAACCCATTCACTCACGCAATTGTCTATTCATCTCCGGGTAATAAAAATACGAAGTATGAACGGAATTTCGAGCGAAGACATGTATTACAGACGGCTTTATTCCGCGTCTTAGTCTAGCAATATCAAATCGATTCTCAGAGTTCTCGGCAACGAACTCATTAGCACCTCACGAATTAATACACCCAAGGGAGCTCGTTACTTTAACAAAACGAGCCCATTCTTTAGTCAGACCGAGTGAAAGAAGTTTTGAAAAATAATAATAGTAAAAAAATGAACTCAAACAAGAGCAAGGTAGAATTCTTATTTTTTTGCTCGGTGCCCGGAGCGCCTCCTCCCCCGGAGTATCGCTTGCATCACCCGGATCGGCGAGCGGATAGCCGGATAGTCTGGAGGGGAATCATCCTTCGACTGCGAAGAAGACTCCGCTCATCTAATGATGGGTTTCTACGTCTTAATGACAGTGATTTGCTTTTTGCTCAGCGCAAATTCGTGACTTTCTCTCTCTGTTCCTCCGGATCTGCTTGCAAGTGCAAAGCTGACCTTTCTACTCTTCGCTCCATCTGCTGCCTCTATCCTAACACCGCTTTTTGAATCCACATCATTTTTCCCCCCCTCTCTCGAATGTTTTCGCTTTTTTTAGTTCTCTGCATTTTTTTACTCGTTCTCCCGCTTTCATGCACGCTGTAAGCTTATACCCTCCCCTGCATTTCTAACTTTATTTGTGTTTTTTTGTTTTCTCCCGAAGCATTTTTGGGCCAAGAGGGAACGCTCACAAAGAAATTTTAATTCACCTGTATATAGAGCAAGTGGACAGGACCTCTACGGTTAGTTGCTAGTATCAACTATTACGAAATGGCGACAGATATACTTTCTGCTTACCGACAATGAGGGGAAGAGCCTCTCAAAGTCTGAAGGAAGGAAGACGTATTATTTGCTTATGGTCGGAACGCTGTTTCAAACTGACATTTAGATATTAACTAAAATTGTCATGATTGATAGTCTAAAACGCTCTAATGATTAGTTACATTTATTTTCCGAGAAACACTTACTGATCGGAAGGTTTCGAAGATCTTTCTCACCAAACTGCTAAATTTTACATTACTATTTTAATATATTCTATTTCCATAACATTTGTTAGTTTCTGGTCTGTGAAAAATAAACTTTATGGAAAAGGACAATAAATAAATTTGTAACAAGATCTAAAATTCCAGTTATTCTAAAAGAGAAATCAGTATCCGAATTTCAATTGCGGATGTATTAGAAATGAAAAAATATATGTATGGTTTGTTATTATTAAAGAAAGAGAGATACCTGAAGGAAACCCCATTGATAAATCACAATTCAACAGTTTAAATAATAATGAAAAATTCATGTATTATGTGGCAGCTAATTAAAAACGTAAGTTCACTCTTTCGCTCAACTTTCAGATATCTTTAAAGGTAAAGCTTGCATAAAGACATAGTTTAATGTTAAACAATACTGACTCTTTGGAAGAAGTGGAAAACAACTTTTGCTAATAATACAAAATAAAGAACGAAGTTTATAACAACTGCAGCGTTGATCTGACATTTCATGATTCGTGAAATTTGATGTCCGGCCTTTTTTTTTTCTTTTTGTCTCACTCAGAAATTTATTAAAACAGCATGTAAGTCAAGAATCGGAACTAGAATTGGAGTAGTTTGGAATGAGGAGTTTTATCTGTTAAGATTTAAGTCTATTAATTAGTTTTTGCAAGGGATGTATATATTTGACTTGCAAAAGAAGTTTATACGTATTTATTTCTCTGTGATGTAATAAGCATCCATAATAAAATTGGCTATGCTAATGTTTTTCATAAAAAAATGTTTCATTATCTTTCTCAAGGTTTGAATAAATAGTTTAATGTTGCACCTTCGTTCAAGCAACCTGTTAAAGAAATATGAGAACATTACCGAGAAGCAAGGACCTTTTTCTTAATTGTAACAAAATTAAATTATAAAAGATTGTTGATTTGAAAAAGAATGGTCACTTGAAGTGACTGAAAGCTTAGAATTAAATTACTTGCAAATGGATAACTTTCCGTTGATTGAAAGGAAGTTTCATCATGTGGAACGCTTTTCTCCATAAATGCATTTTTCAACAAATGCAATTAGATGACGTAAAAAGCCTTTCGATGAAGCATTTAAAAAATCGTAAAAGCTTGCATTATTCTCGAAAGATACGTTAAAATTATCTTTCAAAAGATTCGCTATTACATTTTTGCAAATTTCATTAAAAATTATCTTTTGATTTTGAAATATCTAAGAGAGGCTTAATTTCTACAGTGCCCATTGCTTTAGCACAGATGTAGTAAACTTAACCTTCCCCGCCAGATTCTTTTATCATTATTAAGGTGGTACTGTAAGCTTTTACAAAGAGAACTGTTAAACGCTAGTTTTTTCTTGTTAAATGCGTGAAATGCAAGCTGTCTTAATAATCCTCTACCTACGTTCAGTTCATGATTGCGTTTTTTTTTTTTTTTTCCTTCCCGTTGTGTGGCAAGAGAACTCGTATGTCCTGAAAAGAGCAACGCGAAGAAGGGGGATTTGGTGTCAACTTTAGGACTTCTGTAATATGCCCCCTGAATGAGAGCGCGTGTCAATTAGCGTTTTAATATTCCCACAACCGAGGTTACCCGAGAAGGTTCAGGGAAGTAGCGGATTACTCACGGGGATTTGTATAGGGGAAAAACCTGCCAGACGCCAAGAATGACAGATATCCCTTCTGAAAAAAAATACTCATAAAAAATGGGGAGGGGGGACCGAGATCCATATCAGACCAGCATTTGCCTGCGATTAAAAATGAATGGATTGAAACTGTACACAGTACAGATTAATCTCTACTCGGAAGTGACCTTCACACGAGTCCATTTCTCGACAGGTGTACCACTTTTACAAATCTCAAAATATCCTTCTCTCTTGATGATGAATTCGCCAAAAATCTAAAGGCAAACCATAAAGAAAAAAAAGTATTTAATTACATGTCATAAAATACATCCTCATTTTTATTGCTCGATTTAATCTCAAAATAACTAATGGCTAATCTTAAGTACTTGCAACGGGAAGCTCCGGGGCCACAACTTCGGAAACACAACTTAATTTTAGGAATTTGCGATAAAAGTATTTAATGAAGACCTTCATTTTCAGAAAGATTTTAATACATTCACAACCAACGTTTGTCAGCTGACTTTCTGTTCTCATCGGATTATTTGAAATTAACAGTTTTACGTAATTATGTTGCAATACTGAACAGCATAAAAGCATAGGTCGTGCATTTGTATGATTGTCGCTCAAAAAATGACCATTTCAAAGAGGAGAAGAGTGATATTTGTTTACGGCATGCTGATTTTCGGTGATATATAATTCAGAGCTAGGTAGCTCCATTTACGTACTGGTGACTGCTATGTCAGAGAGTGAATTGAAAACAGAAAGAAATCAAGA